CGCGAAAGACGTTTTCCCGCGTGCCGCGCGCGCCGGGGCGGGGCCGCTTGCCCTCGTTCCCGCCCCTTCCTCTCCGCGCGGCGCGGCGGCGCGGGGCTGGGCGCGCGCTGCGGCGGCGCGGGCGGCAGGGGGCGCTGCGCGCCCGGCGCGCGGGGCGGCTGCGCCGTGGCGGGTCGGAAATGCCGCCAGGTGGCGGTTTAGGATCGCGGCCCCGCTGAGCCCCGCGCGGGCCCCGCCAGCGCCGCCGCCCCGGCCCCGGCCCGCGCCCGCCGGACCCCGCGCGCCGCCGCCGCTCCCGCAGCGCTCCCGGGGCGCTCCCGGGGCGCCGCCGCGGCGCGGCCCGAGGTGAGCGCGGCGCGCGGGGAGGGAGCGCGCGGGAGGCGCCGATCCAAGATGGAGGCGCGAGGGGCGGGGGCAGCGGGGCCGGGGCCGCTCGCTCGCTCGGTCTCCGCGGCGGCCGGGCCGGGAGCGGGCGCTGCCCGTGCGAGGAGAGAGGAGAAGGGGAGGGGAGGGAAGAGGAGGCGGCGCGGGGCGGGGCGGCTCCTGCCGGAGCAACGGGTCCCCCGGGCGCGGCGCTCTTCGCCGCCATCTCATTGTCCCCGCCGGGGCTTTGCCGGGGGCGCGGGGCCGAGCCGGGCCGGCCTCCCCCGCCGCCGGGCCTGCGCCCCGCTCCGGGTGGCGGCGGCGGCGGCGGGCCCGTGGGGGCGATGGGGGATGCTCGGGCGGAGCGGGGGTGGCGCTTCCGCCGCGCGGGGCTCGGTGGCGGCGGCCCCCGGCCGTCCCCGGGCGGCGGCGGAGGAGGGAAAGTTCCGGGAGCCGGTGGGCGGCCCGACCCGCCTTTGGCCCGGCCCGGCCCACGGGAGCGCCCGAGCGCCTGGCCGGAATCCAGGGGGGCCAGGCCGGGGTGCAGCCCCGGGGTCGGGGACCCCCGCCCGCCGCTCTTGTTGCTCATCCCCGAGTTTCCAGTGCGGTGGCCCCGGGGCGAGCGGCCGCCCCTTGGCTGGCCCGGGGGACGGGACCGTGTCACGCAGCCGTGGGGCTGCGCGGGCTTTAAACGGGAGAAGCAGCGCGCTGAGCCCCGGGGGTGGCGGGACCGGAGCCGGGATCCAGGGATCCGTGGCTCCAGGAGTAGCCAAGTGCAGGGCAGTGCCCTCTGGCCGGTGCTGGGAGTGGGGGAGAAGCACAAAACGAGGTTGGGGTCCTGCGCTGTTGGGCTCAAACACAGCAAAGGCTGTGCATGGAGTAGTGGAAGGCTTCGGTGATGGGTGCTGGTCACTGGGTACCTGGCCATCCCGGGAAGTGGTGGACAGCCGCACTCAGCTCTCCCCGTGTTCCTAGGGTGGAACAGGGAGTGTGAGCCGTGGCTGGGAGGAAGCGTGACTTGGGAGAAAGAAAATAGTTGTAGTATCCATGGAGCAGCTTAAAGGGACATGACTGCCAATACCAGTGTCAAAAAACTTAGTTTCTGGGAAGACAGTGTGAGTTTAATTAAACTGAATTGAGCTGCTTTGTAAGTATTGATTATTTCAGTTGCATTTCACACAATTTTGTAGCTGCCCAGAGTTAATCTAGTGATAACATCTATTGTTGAGGTTGTTGAGAAATGAAAAGCCTTCTTCAAGTCACACCACCAATGCAACTGTTCTTAAACTGTGTCATATGTTTGGTGAGATGGATGATATTAAATGTCTGGGTTCAGTAACTTTCTGATGTTATTATACTAGTCAAAAAGGAGTGGTGTGAGAGAAGGATCAATGCAGATTGTCTGGATCCAAAGCAGCTTGGTCTTGCCTAGTGCTATAGCAAGGTTATTTGATGAGTGTTTTTACAGTATAACCCATCCACCTGTGAAGAAATCACTGGGCCACAAGGCACAGTGTAGGTTGTCTGTCAAAAGGTGTTTTTACCATGTGAAGAAGTTCTTCCTACTACAGAATTGGAAACCAGTTATTAGAAAACAGTTTATTCTTTGATTTTTTTTTTCTGACTCAACTGTGATGACTTTTTGTTGGAAAGCCTGAGAAAATGCACGTAGGGGTGCAGAGGGTTTTGAAATGACACACTAACCCGTGATGCAGCAGGATTTCCTTGTGAGCAGGAGCAGAGGGGCTGACTTCAGGATTGTGATTAATCTGAGAGGATGCAGTTTTTACTGGCTGCTCAATAGAGAGTGTGCAGTTGAAATTCTATGTTGCTGTTGCTGATGGACACATGGATTTACATCAGTGAGAGTGGGTAGTGGGAACGAAGCCTTTCTGAAGCTCGGTGAACAGTTAGTGCCAGTTCTGGAGGTTCAGAGCACTTCATCCATCTACAGCCCCTGCAGTCCATGGCCTCTGGTGCTTCCTAACGTTTTAGAAAGTGCTGGAGTTACTAGTTCACTGAGGGACAGCATTTCTGGCCAAATGTCCCCACCCAGTATGCTGTGGTTCAAAGTTGTGAGGGCAACTGAAACCCTGCCACTGGAGCTGTGTGACTGGGGTCTCTGAGCTTGTCAGCTCCTGTCCCTGTCCATAGCCTGTCCTTCATGTTGTGCAGATTTGTACATGACTTCTTCTGCAGCTGCAGTGCACCTTTTGAGAGTTGAGAAGGTTTGTAAACAATATTGTAGCTCATGTTTGGATGCATTGACAATGTTTGTTCCTTGGGGTAGTCCAAAACTCAACAAGTGAATATTTTTCATTTGAAAGAACAAAATGTACCTTGAGTTTGTGTCGGTGACTGTGGAATCTCTTGTTTCTTTTCCTTGGTTGTAAAGAAATGCTCTGATACACGTTGGCATACTGGTAATTTACATAACATTTTAGTAGGCAAGTGAGCCCACAGAAGTGTAAGGATGCAGGCGAGAGAAATGCTGAATTGAGATGACTTTCTAAGAAGAGTCCCTACACTGGGATGAGAACATGCCTTTACAGTAATATTGTGGTTTGTTTTCTGGTAACATGCACAAAAGCCTCTCATACCCTGCTGAGAACTCCAGAGTACCAGATCTGTAGTTACCACAAGACATTGAAAGGGGCAAACTCCACTGAAGTTGTGCAGGAATGTCAAAGCCAGAATTCACATGCAGCACTGCTGAATGGGTGATCAGCCTCTCTGGGATCTCCCCGTGCTGCACCTTGGAGTTTTGGGATGAGGCTCTGGCTTCTGGTGCTTGGAGTCAAACCCAGAAGATGCTGAATCTGGTGCCAAGATAAGGAAGTGCCTTATCTAAATCTGCTGTATTGACTTCAGGACTTAAAATGCCAGCCCATGTCTGCAAGATACTTCCTGCTTTCTTTAAAGTTTTGGGGATTTACTTGTAGTCATTCTCATTTATCAGTGGAGCTGTGAAACTCCAATTGCAGGTTGTCATCTCTCACTTGCAGTGCCACTCTGTCTGCTCATTTGACTAAAACCAGAAAGGAGGAGAGTTGGTTTTTGTTCTTGGAGAAGAAAGGGAAATCCTACAAAGTTTGAGTTCACGATCAGATAATTATTCTGTTGTTTCTATCCAGGGATATGCAGTATTTTGCTTTTCCATGCTGATGCAGTTTTGTTGGTTTGGGATTTCAGTATGTGAGCAGAACACAGGAACCTATTTCTTTGTTCCCTTAGAAAATATGTGGTTTGGAGAGTGTTACTATGACCTCTTGCAATTTTTCAGTCAGAAAACACTTATTTCAAAAATAAGTGTTGTTTTGTGAAGGCACACTGATTTTTTTTTTAAAGGCAGACTTCAACTTGCTGAAAGAGCTGAAGGGAAGGATCTGCAGAGGGAATTTCAGCTGTGATTTTGTAGTGACTTGCTAATTTAATTTCTGACGTGTCCTGTTGGAAGTCTGTCTGTAGGCAATGGTTGCGGCATTTGGCAGCTCATGTGTCACTGTGAGAGAATACCCAGGAACTCGGGTTTGAAGGAAATGCACTCCTGGCTTTACCAGCTTTGCCACATTTCCTTGTTTGCATCCCTGCAGGCATTTTATAATTTGGAAAATGCTTTTTAATAATAACTGTGCTTGAGATGGGATGCCTTGGACAAGAGATCGATCAGGGCCCAAACAGCGTCACCTGTGTCCTGTTCTGAACTGTAGGTATGACATGAACTTGGTAAATTGGGTAACTCTGCCTTAATTTTGGAATATCTGGGGAGAAAATGCCTATATAAAAATGCAGGTAATTCCAAATGAAGTACAAGTAGTGCAGATACGAGGCTTTTCATGCCTTCAGGCCCCTGACTTTGGTCGGTGCTGCTCTCTGTGCCCAGAGCTGGGAGCAGTGGCTGCCCAAAACTACCTGCACCTGGTCCCTGATCTGCTGGTTATTCTGTCCAGAGGGGAATTTCGGCTTAAAAGACACAAAAAGGTTGCACCTGGTGTGGTGGGGCAGGCTCTCAGCCACAGCTGTCAGCATTATTAGATGTGAAGGCTTGATGTGGGAGTGTATTGTGAGCTGCAGTCACACAGTTATTAATCATTTATTTCAGAATTAGGAGCAGGAGGTGGAATTCTTAAGCCTGTCCCCCTTCAGCTGAAGGGCAGGTTGTTTCAGGTGGTTCTCAAAAGTCATGTTTTATTAGAAAGCAGCACGAAGGAACACCCAGCCAACTGTGTTCCTTGCTATGCAAGGTTTCAGCAGCAGATATGTTATTTATTCTATAAATAAAACCAGTGAGTTTATATTCTGTAACTCTACAAATGGCAGACTTGTATTATATTGGCAGGTTAGTTGAATGAAAACAGCATTGACAGATTGTTCAGCTCACAGGAAAAATACTTCGTTGTAGAGTTACTTAGGGATTATGCTGTGTGTCAGAAATATTTCTAAATGTCAACTGTTTTTTTTCAATAAAATTAAAAAAAAAATCCGAACAATTAATCTTGGATACATTTTTACATACTAAAGCATACCATGTGGAGGTGTTTTTTGAAACCAAAATCAAGTAACAAGCTGAGTGTCTGTTTGCTCTCCCCCACATGAGGGTTTCTCTCTTTCCTTTTAGGCTTAGAATCCCCAAGGACCTGGAAGATACCAACATGTTTGTGTTTATAAGTGGAAAATGAAACTTCATTTGCAAATGGGTAATGAATTCCACCTTAAATGCATACTCAGTGTGCCAGTTTTGCATTGTTAATTTCTACATCTGTTCATTAAGAGCACATGAGCTGGTTGCTGCCAGTGGAATTGCATAAGATGGTTGAGCTGCTCTGCCAGTCTTCCTCAGCTGAGAGGAATCTGTGTCTCCACATCTGTACAGATCTCCCTTCCCTTTGTGCTGCTGCTCACTTGACCTTCCCTGGAGCTCAATTCCCTACCTGGCAAACTCCTCTGCTTGGGAGGGAGGTGAATGAATGAGTGAATGGAGTCAGGCTGTCAGAGTCAGGAGTTGAAAGAGGTGATGCAAGGTCAGTGGCAGGAATATTTTTGCAGAAAAATGGTCCTGGAGATGGGGATCCTTCAGGTGCAAGGTCCAGATTGGCTCAGGTGTGCGTGCCTGTGCTGGGTGTGGGTGTTCAGCATGGAGCCCATTGCTCGGTGTAAGGTTGGGATTCTGTGGGTAGCTCTGACTTCACTGAATGCCCCCTGGCAGCTCGGCTGCCTGCAGCCTGTGTTTGTTCTTCCCTTCCTCAGGGCTGGTCCTGCCCTGCCAGAGTGGCCTGATGCCATCAGCACATTGTTGGCATTCTTTTCTGGATGGAAGTGTCCCAGTCTGGCCTCCAGCTCACATTCCCAGTATCGTGGGTCAGTTTGGGTTGGAAGGGACCTTACAGATCATCTTGTCCATGTTCTCAGGGACACCTTCTCCTGTGGGACTCCCCTGGGAGTTTGCTCTTTGTCTCCTGTCCCTTCCCCAGGAAACCTGTCCATGCAAGGCCTATTGTTGCCATGGCAGCTAAATTTCTTTAAGGGCCTTTTCTGAAGCATCTTGTTAAATGTCTCTTGGAAATTAAAGCAGGCTTTGTCAAGTACAGTCCACTGGTGTAAGGGAGGGCCTTATGAGAAATCCTGTAGATTTGTGGAACTTGACTTTCCTATACAAAAAGAAGGTTGATTTCCCTGTCTAAATGCTGTAGTTTATTTAGTTGCCTGCAGATCTATTTTCTGGAATGGTTTCTACTAAATTAGGCTCACTAGGCTGTAACATCAGTGTTAGGTGAGAGAGTAAACATAACTATAAATTGTATTCAAGAGTAAGCACTGCTTCAAGCAGTAGAATTTTATTTTGAAGGCTGTTTTTTTCCAGTTCACTTATGTGACTTTTTTGGTATCTGATAGTTTTGTTTTTCCCATACCCTTGCTTTAATAGGACATTGCTTGTGGGAGAGGAATTAAACATCTCTGTTCTAAGAAATTAATATTTTTAACAATGGAGAGGTACTTATATATTTCAGGTTCTCTGTTTTCCTGAGTTCAGTGGAAATTGGTCCATGTACTGATAATTATTGATAGTGGAGAAAAGGATAGAGAGAGGATATATGCACAGAATACTCACCTCTAGGCCTGTTCCCGTTGGCTTCTGGGCTTAAAGAAACCCAAACAAATGGTTGCAGTGATACTGTAAAATAAATAATGTAGCACAGGGAGTGCAAATCACCACTGCACAGATCATCCTTGCATACAGAGCTGCCTTTGGCTGCTTCCAGACTGTGCTCAGCCATCTGTAACCCTTGTGCCCTGCTGTACAAAGTGCTCTGGCAAAGGCAGTGAGGGTGGAGAAGCAGAGCTCCAGTGCTAAGGAGGGAAGCTCTTCCCCAGACTTGGCCACAGTTTTGGGTACTCTGCCCTTTGGGTTTCAGATCCTGGCTTGTTTATTCTTCACCTCCTTTCAGTTCCACGATCTTAGCGTTTCCATTAAGCTCTTTGATTCTTTTTCTATTTTAGCATTAGCTGATTGTTCTGCTTGTATTTACATAAATCAAATAGAATTCACCTCTAAGTGTCCTTTCCCATCCCTCTGAGAAGGGTCATTGTAACTAATCAGAAGAAATGACATGATTTCTGTGGGTTTACGCATCTCTTTTGCTTCCCTAGTCAGAGGAGTGGTTTTTGGATTTTTTTAAAATATCTTTAGTTTTTGTAAGCTCCATTTGCAACAGTTTTCTCTGACAAAGCAATAAAATGGAGCTAAAATTTAATTCCTGTTTCAAAATGGTCTAGGGAAGTTTTGAATGCTAATTACTGTGCTGTTGTACAAGATACTGGACATGCTCAGAATGTGGAGAGGTGTGTTTTGATACGGAATTGTTACACTTAGTTTTCTTCCCAAAAGAAACCAGAGAAGCTGCTTGTTTTAGCTTTGCAAAGGAAAGTTTTTACACACTCAAGTTCATATTGAGCACCAGCATCAAGGACAGAAAGCACTGGTGTGGGGGCTTATGTAAATCCTTTTGCCTGATTGGGTAATGAATTGGGAATTTCTTGTCTTGGAGGGAAATGTGAATGCCAGAGCCATTAGAGCAGGGAGGACAAGTCTTCTCCATTGGTATGCCTTACTTTTCTGATTTCTCATTGCTGGTTGTTGGATCAGAGCTGTTGGTGTCCTGGTGGAAAGTTCAGAAGGAAAGACAAGGGCTAAGAGATAAGGCTGAGGGAAAAAGAATCCAGAGAAGCCAAGTGTCACATTTGAAAGGTGGAGGGAGGAATTGTCACTTGCAGCTGCCATTACTTCTTGGACATTTTGTTTCCCCAAGGCAAATGTATTTTTTACAGAACTGCTAAGACTTGAATATGTATCATTTTCTAAACTTTAAACTAAGAATGTTTTCTTGGTGATCTCTACTGTTGAGGATTGCCAGGCCTTTTGCAAGTGTGCGCCATTCATCAGCATCATCCATAGCATTCATGCAGGACTTGGAGCCCCTGTGCAATGGCAGGAGGTACCCACCAGTTTTTTCTGCAGTAAATTCTGTGCTATTGGCAGGGTATGTCACTGACGGAGTTTTATTGTGAAATACACAGCTGAGAATAACCTTTCACATCTTCCTCGCCCATAAATTTTTGGCAGTCAGCTCCTTTGTTGTCTGTCCCTCAAACAACTTCCTTGACCTAAAGTCATGCATTGGTAACACCCACATCCAGGGTTGAGCTATTGTGTCTGCCTCTGTCCTGAAGGCCACGTATTGCTCCTCTTTGTAACTCGTGCTTGCATTCAGGCCGATGTCAAAAGATAATGATTTTGTGTGGCAGTGGTCACAGAAAGTATTCAGCATGTGGGACAGCTCTGATTTGTAGTTCTCTAATTCTGATCTCTTCACCCACAGGCCTGGTAAATGACAAGGAGCACCACTGAAGTGTCACAGAGTGTGCCACTGCAGTTATTTATGCTGCTGGAATCCCAAGCCTGTGTGCAGGTTCACTGGTACTGGCGGATGTGAGCCTGACACAAGGAAGAGCTTGTGGAACTAAACTGTAATGGAACAATCACATAATTAAAGAGCATGGGAATGTACAAAACCAGTGACTTCCAGCTCTTCAGAAGAAATAAATTCATGATGAGCTCTCTTAGCACTAAATGAGGCGTCAGGGGTGAGCAGAACAGGCTGTTCCCATTCGTGATGGGGGCAGCTGGGCTAGAGCAAGTGGTGTTGTGCCAAGAAACTGCAGCTCCTGCAGATCCTCAACTAGCTTGTTTTATATATGTATATAAGAAAGAGGTGTCTTTTTTTAATGTCTGGTCAAGCTATTACTGGTGTTGGTGGCATGCCAGGCTCTTTGATTGAAGACCCAAGAGCAGCTCGAGTGTCTTGAGGCAGTGCAGGACATGTCCTGCCCTTCCTGCAGCTCCTGCATCTGATGTTGCAGTCAGAGCTCCCTGAAATGGGGCCTCGGTTGGGAAGACAAAAAGCTGTGGGGAAGGAAGGGAAGAACATGCTGGTAAAAGGCTAGAAATTATCTGAATATCATCTTGCATTCACCACACTTGCCTATTAATAGCCAACAAAGAACAAAAATTTAATACACAGGGCAGCCTCATTTGTATTATTTTTCCTTAGCTGTAAGCACAGGCAGTTTGGAACTTGGTTGCTGAGGATTTTTTTTTTAATCCTCAAGGGGAATGTTGGTTTTCTTATTGTTATAGATGGCTCAGATGAGCACGCCTGTGGTTGAGATGGGTATTGTTAGGCAGTTACTCCCATCTTGTTTCAAATAACACATGACTGACAAATCAACTGTCCTGACTGGAAAGTCCTGTGTTAAGTTTTTAGCTGCAGATTGCTTATTTTTGTGGTGTTTTAACAAAACTTATTCAAATTGATTTTTGAATATGAAATTAAGGTGGGGTTTTTTGTTTGGTTTTGTGGTTGTGGTTTGTGGTTTTATTTTTGGTTGGTTAGTTTTTGTTTTGTTTAGGTTTTTTAGGTGTGGTAAATACATTTTCTTCTAAGGATTTCAGTGGGAAATTCCTGCTGAGTTTTCATACTTTAGGGTAAAGGCCTGTGGCTTTAATGAGATCATTGTTTCTTAGTTGTTAAAAAAAAATAAATCCACATTGCTTGATCATTTCATGATTATCTGCAAAATGGTAAGTGGTAGCTTGGTTTGACTCAGATATCTCTTTCTTGCAGATTTTGTAGTTGTGCAGGTTTTGCATGGGAGCAGGTTGCATGTGCCACATGGAGAGTAACCTTCAGTGCATCCTTCCGACTCTGGCAAGGACAGGAGTTGGACAGACATCAGTTTGCTACTTGTGAACAGAAGCCATTCCTGAACACCAGAGTGTGTGAGGCATAACTCCCCAGGTTTGGAAACCAGGCTTTGGTTTTTTGGTTTCTTGCCATAAAGTTACCAAAAAGTGGATCTTGTCAGTCAGGTGTCTTTTGTGCTGTATCCTTGTTTTCCTCCAAAGCAGGCAAGTTACCGTGGGCTCCGATAAGGAACAAATGTTTTTCCTAACTTTGTTTATGAGAGAACATTTATTTTGGATGAAATCTCCCAGAGGAACTTGAATAGACAGCGGATGGGAAGATCAGTAAACCCAGCAGGATATAACAACATTGTGTGCTTGGGCTGTTGAGAATGTGGAATACGAAATAAGGGAGCAAAATGATGCGGTTTTAACCTGGCCAAGAGCTGAGAGGTG